AACATCTTTTTGGACACTTTCAACATATATAGGTTGGGCCAAAAAAACCAGTTTGTGCATTTGGTACAGAAGGCAACAACAATTCATTCAAAAAGATGGGGACATTTTTTAGAAATGATGGAGATATGGACATGTTTCTGATGCTATCCCCTCAAATTCTCTGATAGTGTTAAAGAGATGGTCATTCGTTTTGCAGATGCTTAGACAGGCAGTGCATCCACGCTGCAGAATTAAACCAGTCTCACACCACTTTAACTGCCACAATTCTAGGCTATCCAGAAACTTGAGATTTATAGTATGGTGAGGCACCAGAGGTCTCTTAAGAGACCAGGCTGAATGCCTCGCCAAACTCTAAATCCCAGGATTCCACAGAATGGTGCCCTGAGAGTTAAAGCGGTTCTGATGTATAAATTAAACTTTTTAAAACCAATAAGGCAAGAAGAAAGATTGCAAAGGATAATTTTGACGCTAGATTGCATCCCATTATTGCATTGGTTTCAAAAAGAACTTCACTGGAAGATTTGTCATTTTGGAGTGATGTGTTGTAACACAATCCTGGTTTTATTTTGTAGTTCATGGGGTAACAGTGCCTGGTTATCTTAAGAAAAAATTAATACAAAATGAAAGAGGGAGAAAGAGAGAGAAAAAAATTATAGGGATGGGATATACATATACATATATGTTCTTGCAGGCAAGAATAATTAAACCACTTTCTCACTATAAGAAAGTCATCAGAAAAAATGAGCAGTTTGCAAAGAGTACAGGTTGAATTCCCCTTATCCAAAATGTTTGAGACCATTTCGGACATTTTTGGATCTTGGAAGACCTGTATTTGCACATCTATATACATAATGAGACGTCTTGGAGATGGGACCCAAGTTTAAACATGAAATTCATTTATATTTCATATGTATAGTGAAGGTAATTTTATACATAATATTTTTTTTAAAAAAAATGTGCATGAAACAAAGTTTGTGTACATTGAACCATCAGAAAGCAAAAGTTTTGCTATCTCAAGAGGTGCCAAGCATGATTATTTCTGCAGTGCGGATGCAGACCTAAATCATAACCAAGGGAGATGGAATTACAAGGATGCAACATGAGCTTCAGTCCTTGTACTCTTCCCAGTTTGGCCAGTTTCCTGCAGAAACTGGAAGGATAATTCAGAAGTCTTTGATACTTCAAGGTGACCCACTATGCCCAGGGTACTATGGCATTGGGACACCACTGAAACTGGGGGTCCTTGACCATCTGTGCCACGGATGTGCAACTGCACAATTGGGGTACCAATGTTCACCCCTACCCCCTTTGCATGCCCTGAGCATGCAAGGCTGCTGCTGGGTTTTTCTACATTTCCCAGCCAATTTTTAGGGATTTCCAAGGTGATGGGAGCCTCAGGAAAGGGATGGATGAGTGTAACTCTACATCTGTGGATGGTTTTTGCACATTTTCCCCTGGGATTTTTTTGGGGAGGTGCCCAGAAATCTGCCTGGAAATTATTATTATTTTTAATAGGAGGGTGCAGAGTGCAAAGGGGGCACCCAGGGCCACAAAAGTAGTAAATTTAAGAGATGTATTAGATTAAGCAATAATGGTGCACATAAGATAATATACGATTGTAACAATTGTGATTAAGCATCCATGAAGCATGCATTTGGGGACTTAGTGTCATGATATCAAGAAGGATACCAAAAGGGGAAAGTGTATCTTTTTGTAAAAATAATAATAATAATTAATAATGTCAATAAATAAATAAAGTGGAGCCCATAGACTCACACTTTCCTCCCATGTACACCAATGGGTTTTCGGGTTGTGATAGGAAACGCAAAAACTTACCTGCGCTTCCGGCTTTTGTGTTTCTGCAGGAGGGAGAGAGAGAGAGAGAGAAAGACAGGGAGACCCCATTTTAGAATTTACGTAGTTTCAAGATACAGAGAAAAATAAATATTTGAAACCAAGAATTTTGCAACAAACTACGACAATACAATGTAGGATGGCGGGGAGAAGACCATTATTCATGGAGGGACTGCACGGTTCTCACTAGAAAAGCAGGTCTAAGTGGACTTGAGAAAATATTATGTTCTTAATAAGCATGGGCAAAATATGACCCAAAGGCTGATTTTGCAGCAGCGTCGGCTGGTTTAAACCAGGTTGGTTTAAACCATGGTTTCAACTAGGTTGGTTTAAACCATGGTTTAAACTTGGCTTAAACCAAATTTCTTTAAAA